CAGTCAAAAAGAGATAATACAAATAAGAATAAAAAACACTTCTAAAGAATAAATTTAAATTTATTCTTGCACACTTGCACACTGTTTCCACACAATGTCTGTTTTGTTTTTTTCCTGTTTTCATAATATTTCTATACATTAGGACTGTAACAATGCTGCTGCATTAAGATCGCCAAATGTCATGATATGCTCTGTTACACATACATTACCTATTCATGTATAATATTTGTTGTATTCCATAGTTGGTTTTTAATTAAAACTATTTAGTTTGTGTATTTTGCTACTTTTTACTTTAATTCCATTTACTTTCACGACAGCTAAAGATGTTGTGAAACATACACTAAGGTTTACACAATCATGAAGTGATATGAAATGTATTCACGCTTTTGGACTTCTTTGTAAATTCACATGAAACTCTGAGGACATAATAGTTATTTAGCAACAACAGATTTGAAAATCAAACAACTAGAACACAAGAAGGAACACATATGTCCATGGACCAATTCTATAATTCATCATTAAATTTCACATTATGTTTTTAAGGTTTATATTATTACAATATATAATATCGGTTTTCAGGTGTGCAGGTGTGTAATAAGTATATCCAGTACAAAGGTTGGAGGTTGTGAGGGCCCCCAGCTGATGTCAGGAAGTAAAAATAGAACTGTGTCATTGGTTATAGCCTGGCAACTAAAATTGTGGTGACAACCCCGAGAAATGTGCTGTCATATGACTCCATTCCTGCATGGAAAATCCAAACACGCTGTTGAAGCGCTGTCAGTGGGGAGAACCCTATGGAAACAATCTCAGGATGGCTCACACAGGGATTTAAAGGGACAATGATTTGTTTAATTCATTAATGGGTAGTTACATTTTTAGATGCAGTCATCAACTCAATCATAACCAAAATATTGAGGTACAGTGCCTTGCGAAAGTATTCGGCCCCCTTGAACCTTTCAACATTTTGCCACATTTCAGGCTTCAAACATAAAGATATAAAATTTTAATTTTTTGTCATGAATCAACAACAAGTGGGACACAATCGTGAAGTGGAACAAAATTTATTGGATAATTTAAACTTTAAAAAAAAAAAAAAACTGAAAAGTGGGGCGTGCAATATTATTCGGCCCCTTTACTTTCAGTGCAGCAAACTCACTCCAGAAGTTCAGTGAGGATCTTTGAATGATCCAATGTTGTCCTAAATGACTGATGATGATAAATAGAATGCACCTGTGTGTAAACAAGTCTCCGTATACAGTAAATGCACCTGCTCTTTGATAGTCTCAGGGTTCTGTTTAAAGCGCAGAGAGAACCATGAAGACAAAGGAACACACCAGGCAGGTCCGAGATACTGTTGTGGAGAAGTTTAAAGCCGGATTTGGATACAAAAAGATTTCCCAAGCTTTAAACATCTCAAGGAGCACTGTGCAAGCAGTTATATTGAAATGGAAGGAGTATCAAACCACTGCAAATCTACCAAGACCCGGCCGTCCCTCCAAACTTTCATCCCAAACAAGGAGAAGACTGATCAGAGATGCAGCCAAGAGGCCCATGATCACTCTGGATGAACTGCAGATAACTACAGCTGAGGTGGGAGAGTCTGTCTATAGGACAACAATCAGTCGTGCACTGCACAAATCTGGCCTTTATGGAAGACTGGCCATTTCTCAAAGATATCCAATAAAAGTCTCTTAAAGTTTGCCACAAGCCACCTGGGAGACACACCAAACATGTGGAAGAAGGTGCTCTGGTCAGATGAAACCAAAATCAAACTTTTTGGCCACAATGCAAAACGATATGTTTGGCGTAAAAGCAACACAGCTCATCACCCTGAACACACCATCCCCACCGTTTGCTTCTGTTCAGGCTTTTTTTGCATTGCAGTGTACCAAACTCAATCAAGAATAAACATTGTTTTGTATCAGCAAAATGTATTAAAATAGTACCCAGGTGTTGTTTCATGTGTGAGGCTGCTAACGACATGAGTCTCCCACACAAGTACATGATTCTAGCTTTGGGGAGGTGATTAGTGAATGCACTGAGGTGATAACAAGCAACAGCCACATGTTAACAGCAAAGGTGTCAGTGCAGAAAGTCACAGCCCCGCCCATTACACTTCCCAGGCATCATTTCAGTGTAATGCGCAAAATAGAGGCTTGAAGGCAAGTATATTCTAATCAAATCTAATTATTTTCTTCTTTAATTGTGATTAATTGCATTAATGTCATAGTTGACGTACAAATAATCACAACTAATCAAAAATGTTTCCCTGTTCTAAATCGATTAGGTTTGAAAAAGGATTGGATGAAGGATTCTTGGATTGCCTCCAAGAAGAAAGTATTTGAATTGTCTAACATGGGCTGCTCAATTTCTGGGTTTTACAGTGTATAGAGCAGAGGTGCCCATACTTTATCAAGCCAAGATTTACTTTTAAAGGTAACTGTTGAGCTGTGATCCTTGGATTTATGTGGGTTTTTACCATTCAAAATATCACATTTGGTTGATGATGATGATGAAAATGTGATTCACATTATTCACATATCATTAGCAAGAAAGAAAGAAATACTTAATTCATCAGTTGAAGTATTGTAGATAGCACACACACATCTGCCACGAAATGTACGATATGTTCTTGTGTCCCATATTATAAATTATTTATTTATTTATATATCAGAAAAGCTCACATCTTGTTTACTACTGTCTACTTTGATTGTGTGCACTCATGGGCGCTTCCTGTTCTCACTTCTGAGTATGCTCTGTCATTTTTTGAGTCACCGTCACTTTAGCAGATGTGATTTGACCGACTCCAGCCGCGGCCCGTGCGTAAACGGCTCGGAAGATGAAATCGACTTGAGCGTACAGACGCACACCGGTCAGGTGCTCGTCAGTCCAAAATGAGCCCCAGATTAGTGTGTATGCACGCCATGTGCCACGAGCATACTTTGTTTCGTTGCCGGTGTAGCTACAACTACATTCAAAGTTGTGTTGTCGTTTTTCTAATATTTCTAGTTCTTGCAACAACGTGTGAAGAAACTACAAAATGCGCTTGGGCAAAAAGAACCACAACAATATTTACACTGTTAAAATGTCATTGCATTAACGTTGTTAATAACTCATTTAACTGACACTATATCCCACTCAGCAGGTGTTTCCACCAGCTCGCATTAGTCGCTTCCCGGTAATATTTTAGTAACGGCTTGACCCTAGTTCTAACCGGGCCGAGTCAATAGCATAACAATATGATGTCGGCGAACGTCAATCGTGATTGGTCAGAGGCGCTGACAATCACTCTTCAGCTGCTGCGTCAGCTGGTGCAAAAAACATAAACAACAACTTGCTGAAAACTATAAAATTGATCGTACGGAAAACAATTCCTTGGTCGCTGGATGAGGTCATACAGCTTGTAACACAACAACTGGTTTTATTGAACCATGAATGTATTATTCACTCTCTAACTACAGTGGGGCAAAAAAGTATTTAGTCAGCCACCGATTGTGCACGTTCTCCCACTTAAAATAATGACAGAGGTCTGTAATTTTCATCATAGGTACACTTCAACTGTGAGAGACAGAATGTGAAAAAAAAAATCTGTAGGATTTTTAAAGAATACATTTTTGGAAATTATGGTGGAACATAAGTATTTGGTCACTTCAAACAAGGAGGATCTCTGGCTCTCACAGACCTGTAACTTCTTCTTTAAGAAGCTCTTCTGTCCTCCACTCGTTACCTGTATTAATGACACCTGTTTGAACTCGTTATCTGTATAAAAGACACCTGTCCACAGCCTCAAACAGTCAGACTCCAAACTCCACTATGGCCAAGACCAAAGAGCTGTTGAAGGACACCAGGAAAAGAATTGTAGACCTGCACCAGACTGGGAAGAGTGAATCTACAATAGGCAAGCAGCTTGGTGTGAACAAATCAACTGTGGGAGCAATTATCAGAAAATGGAAGACATACAGTGGGGCAAAAAAGTATTTAGTCAGCCACCGATTATATAAATACTTATTTTCCACAATAATTTACAAATAAATTCTTAAAAAATCCGACAATGTGAATTCCTGGATTTTTTTTCTTCACATTTTGTCTCACAGTTGAAGTGTACCTATGATGAAAATTACAGACCTCTGTCATTATTTTAAGTGGGATAACTGACTAAATACTTTTTTGCCCCACTGTATGTATTGTAAAAGATATGGATATGACACATAATATCAACACCGCTTTAGCTGTTTGCAGTTGGACCACTCGCTCAGTATAACATTTTAGAATCACATAGACACACGTTCAGTCTAAAACCAGATACTTTTGCATTTGATTGAAGACAAACACTCACCATTCCTCCCAAACTCAACATCTGGAGCAGGGACAAGGCAGAGTTGTGGCTTCTCTCCTGGTGTTAGTGTGTTAGCTGATATAAGCCGATGTCCATAAATGTCCATACATTTGGTCAAACCACCTCCAAAATGTTCGGTTCTGCCCACTTTTGCTGTTGTAATCTTTAAATTCACGGTATTCACTTTTAAGCTTCTTAACTTTTCTCCGCACAGATGATGTCCGTGAATATCCATTCTCCTCCATCCTTAACGCCACCTCCGCAACACTTTCTTGTTTCAGGTGGCATCATCAAGCTCACGCTGGATTTTGTCCTCTCCTCAAACTGAGGAAGGAACCTCATCCAGCGACCAAGGAATTGTTTTCCGTACAAACATCTTTATAGTTTTCAGCCGGGAAACTTGAGGCAACTTGTTTTTCTCAACAGCTGACGCAGCAGCTGAAGAGTGATTGACAGCGCTTCTGACCAATCACAATTGACGATTGCCATTGTCAGATTGTTTTGGTATCAACTCGGTCAGGCTAGAGCCAGGGCCAAGCTGTTAATCAAAAAGTACCGGGTAGTGGCTAAAACGAGCCGGTGTTTTGTCACACTCGCCTAAATTGGCTTTTTTACAGCACCGTTATAATTCTGCCTTTTATGTGTTTTTCTTTTTTCACTGTAGGATGTGGAAACAGCACCATGAGTGGTGACATGTACAGTGCAGGATATCATTCCATCACCAACATTGATTATTCAACGGTATGCATCGATGCCATGAGCTCCAGGTACAGCGGGTGTTCTGGGATGACCTGGCTGCAGATGGATGTGCGCCAGCTATCGTTCCCGGACAATTCTTTCGACATTGTCCTGGAGAAGGCCACACTGGATGCCCTCATGGTTGAGGAAAAGTCTCCATGGAGTATGTCCCTGGAGACTGCCACTTTAATTCATCAGGCTCTCACTGAGGTACTGTTATATCACTTATTGTTAACAGGTCCAATTTAATCTGAAATAAGTGTTAACCCACTTTATTCATAAATTTACTTTTAACCCACCAATTTATTAATCATACACTGTTTTTGTAATATTATAGACCTTAAATCATTGGGAAATCCTTTGATATGGCCTTCTTATATCATGATATAAGAAGGAAACATTTTATTTTTGGACTCTTTAGACAAAAAGTACGGACCACCCTCGCTCAGCCAATCTGCCCTCCGATTGTCAAAGATGAAATCTTTTCTAATAAGATTATGACATCATGTTTTTTTACAATACTCTTTCTTTTGGTACAAACACATTATTAGAAAATTATTATTAATAATAATAAACATAATTTATGAAACCCACAAAAGGTTAGGTACCCCAGCTTTTCTCTTGTCACAGCTCTGTCATCATTAACCGGAGCTGGCTCGTGGACGCCAATGTTTGCGAGAAGCGGTCCACAGACAACAGGGCTCGGGCGCATTGGTCTGGTGATATGTGACTTGTGTCTCGTGTATAAAGTGTGTGGTGAGGAGTCTTTTTAAAATAAAATGTGATTGTTACCATCATCACATTTTACAGAGGTTACCCCCTACATTGGTAACCATGACATCCTCTTGTCAGAAGGAGGTGAGCTTGTTGGTGAGTACAGCTGTGATCGCAGCCGCTGTTTCTCCTGTAGTGCACATACACACAAATGCTTTTGTGGTTTTTCAGTTTAATACATCACTCAAAATTATATTGGTATTAGATTGCCCTGTGATATGTTTGATAAAAGCGCTTTACATTTAAGCTTGTCCACAGATCATCAGTTATCCATCATTGAGTGTCCTTCAGCTGCTGACCGTTGCATTATCTGCTACTGTGTCAATGTGACAATAACTGTTTTGGCCATTAGCCAGGCTTAACCTTGACACAGTAAGACAAGAGAGGGTTTTGCTTTAGCTCACTGATGGAAAGCTTTTGTGAAGTCAGCCTGTGGTTAAATATTGTTCTTGATACATGTATGATGGAGTGAGTGCATTGTGTTTTGTAATTTGGAATCAGAATCAGAATATTTTTTATTGCCACGTAGGTAACAGGAAGTCACAGACTTGGAAATTGCTTGGCTCAGTGCAACAGTGCAACAGAAGAGGCATTAGAGAACATGTGCTGTGCTATTAAGCCATTAAAATATTGAATCACAATCAATTGCAATGAGGTCATAGTTTACTCACAATTAATCGCACATTTTCAATTAATGCCCCTTGATTTGGGCTGTGACATTGAGAAAGTTGTGATTACTGGTGGACGTCCAATAATTGCTACTGCTTTTGTTTTCTCCATCACCTGCCACACGCGTCTTTTGAAATGACAAAGAGCAGAGGGTGGCCGTGGTTTCCAGTAAGGGTATCATCTGGAAAAAGTAGCACGAGAAGCATGAGAAATACCATGAGAAATAGGGAGGAGTGGTAACGGCACATCTCTGGAACAACCTGGGAAATCTCGGTCCATGTACATGTACAAATCTCGGTCCATTTGACACAGCATGTGATCTGATCTATTTCCATTATCACAGAGATGAAACCGTGTCTGCTTAAACCAAAACCACAGAAACATGCAAGCTATGACATAAGGGTGAGGAATAAGTTACTGAACCTCCTGTCTAAGGAGACTTTGAGAGCGATTAATGGCAAGACAGCCATGTGTCCAATCACTGAGGAGTGGCTTAAAGCTGCAGCCCACTATAACACACTCCTGATAAGAATTGTGTCTGAGGCTGGGAAAGGTTACAGCCTCAAACACATTTTTGGGTATTTATCAATTCACAGTTGGAAAAAATGTCTACAAATGGAGAGAGTTTGGCACAGTTACTTCTCTCTGAAGGAGTGTCTGTCCACCAAAAATGAAGCCAAGAGAGCGCAGAATATTGGGAGAGGTAACAAAGAACCCTAGAGTGTGTGCTAAAGACTTACAGAAAACACTGGCACGATCATATATCTCTGTGACCACTTCTACTACACTGGCCAAGAATGGTGTTCATCGGAGGACTCAATGAAGGCATCCATTGCTGAGTCAAAAGATTATTGCTACACGTGTAATGTTTGCAAAAAGGCATAGCACATATGTTATTAAATTGTTTGCACTTGCACAAACACAAAATGGGTAAATTTGTAATAAATTGCTGGTTTCCACCGCAGGAGTTCCTGGTATGGAACTCTCTGCAAAGTTTTAATTTAATCCATATTTAAATTTCGATATTACAGAAAGTGAAGTCAAAAGGGCAATAGATAAAGTTAAGAAAGCGACTGGATTTGACAACTTTGTAGTTGTGTATACAAATTGTATACCAGTATTCTTAATGAGAGATTGGAATCCCTTAACCTACTGGCTGACGAACAGAACGGGTTTAGGAAGAAAAGAGCCTGTATAGATCACATTTATTCTCTCATCTCCAGAAGCAAATGCTAGAAAACAAGAGGGAAAGTCTACATTTGCTTGTTTCATAGACTTTCAGAAAGCCTTTGACTGTGTTAATCAAGATTTACTTGGCTATATGTTATTAAAAATGGGGATTGATGGTAAATTTTATGACGCAGTTAAAGCTATTTATAAAAATCCAATTTCTTGTGTTCAAGTAAATGACCACTTCACTGACTGGTTCCCAACACCATACGACATTATTTGCCATATACATTAATGATTCAGTAAATGAAGTAAAAGGGGCAGATGTGGCCATTAATGTGGGAGACTTCAAACTTTGTATTCTGTTGTATGCTGACGACATAGTGCTATTAGCCAAAAAAGAATCAGACCTTCAGAAAATGTTGAATATTGTTCATGCTTGGTGCAACAAAATGAGACTGATGATAAATTCTGATAAAACTCAAGTTATGCATTTCAGAAGAAGTACCCATGCATTATCAGACATTAAATTCTGTTTTGGCACTATAGTTCTTTCTTTTACTAAAAAGTACAAATATCTTGGATTTATTGTACTATTTATTGTAGTACTACTACTACTACTGTCTGAATCTGCAGGTTTATCAATATGTCTGACACAAGACTGTCCAAACACATCTTTAAATGGGACCTGTCTAATAGACATGTTTGGAGTGTGCAGATGGAGAACATTTTTGTTGATGCTGATCTCCAGTTTTTCAGAAACAAGTTGAGATGTAATGTTGGACAAATTATAAAAGTTTTTTTTGAAAAGTATAAACATAAATGGTTAAACACTGTCTTGTGTAAGCCAAAGCTGAGAACCTATGTTTTGATAAAAGATAATTTTGTTCCTGAGCCCTTTGTGACCCTGAACCTGACCAGAGGTCAGTCTGTGCTCAACTGAGGTCTGGGACTCTGCCCCTGGCTCTGGAGATAGGACGATTTCACTTGGTCCCAGAGGAGGAGCGGACATGTTGTTTGTGTAACTTAAATGATATTGAAAATGAATTGCATTTTGTGTTTTATTGTCCTTTGTATCATGATCTGAGAAGGCAATTATTTTGAAAACTGTCTGATGTCACTGAACTTTTGTTTGAAATGTCCGTTGAGGAAAGGCTTAAGTTTCTGTTCAAGTATAAGCCATTTTTGTTAAGTGCATGGCTCCAACGGAAGAGGACACTCTTTGTTTGATGTTCTTCTGATGTCTGCCTACATCTTTGTGTCTTATAAGCCCATATGGGCTGAGCATCTTATAGGTGCAAGACACCAAATAAGAAATAAACTAAACACTAAAAAATCTAAAAGGTAAAAGGAGCGGGGTGGAACTTATACAGGAACCGTCCTCTCAGTGCCATGTCTCCACTGCAGAGCAGAACCCTCGGCAACATCATGAGTTTCGATTTCCGCGTAAGCGAAACTCATTACGCCAAACCCATTTGTTTATATTATGGTCGTAACCTCTCCGGATGTTGTAGTCTTTGAGTTTTTTTTATAGTCCTGCTTCAGATTTTTTTTTTACTTTTCACGGCTTGTTTTGAAGTGTGATAAATCCACAGTGCTTCAAGGTGAAGCTGATGTGTCTTAATTAATCTTTTCATTTCACTGTGATGCCTCAAACCCCGTCTCAATCAATGCCTGCACCTCATCGACCGTCCTTTTATTGTACGTCTTGCTGTTGTTGTTCGCTGTTTCCAGTGGTGTCTGCTAGGCTAATGCTGCTGGGCTAATGCTGCTGGGTTTTAAAAATGCCTGCTGGCATCAGTGCCTGCGCTAGGTTAACCTCAAGCCACACCAAGAGCTGTTCACGGCCCAATGAAGTACCTAGCATGGGGGAGGGACTCTGTTGGGCCCCGTAAAAGTTCCTGTAAATGCCCCTGTGAGGGAGGTCCCTACAGTGGAGACACGCACCAAAGGGGCTGGCCATGGAAAAATTACCCCGAAGTTCCTGCGGTAGAAACGCGGCTAATGGGATTAATTTTGGAGCAAATGGTAGATGGTTCGAATAAATACCTTTGTATACTTTCCACATAAATGTTGTTATTGATTACATAAACATGCAAAACTAACTGTCCAATTGATCAATACAAATATACAAAAATCTATTTACACAAATAATTGACAACTGTAGCCCTCACCTGTATTATTCACACACTAATAAGATAGCTTAGTACATTTTAAATAGTTCTACAGATGGTATTTATTTTCTAATCTTGCACATTAAGGAGGGCTTTAATGCCTAAGGCTTAAGTTTGACAGAGGAAGTAAACAAAGGCATTACACAGACGGTGAGTCAGGGATGCGGACTGGCAGACATTGGCTCACATGCACACGTCTGACTGAATGGATGGATGGTCTCTGTGTTTTCCCCTAACAGGAGGAAGTATTAAAGATGGATCAAAAGTGTTTGTGGCGCAGATGGGAGGATTTGAATCCCTTCATAGGAACTGAGGCTCATCTCACAATACATTTCGTGTTTTGCTCTAGCTTTCTTCATGTAAATGTAAATGTGCACTTTATTGTCCCTGTAGGGAAATTTGTCCTCTGCGTTTGACCCATCC